ATTTCTGGTGGTTGGAACAACAATGATAAAAAGTTGCAGTGCTAGAATCAATGGGACAGCGAAGAGGGATGCTAGACAGTAATGGTGGCGAGGATGGAGGCGGCAGGGAGACGTGAGGCTGCAGGATACAGCAGAAGTGTTGTCCGAGGAAAGGGTGGCAACTGCAACAGTTACGGCGATGACAGAGGCGATAGGGTTGTTCTGGAGGATGGGAAGGTTGAGGATAGTCACCTCCTCGGAGCGAGATACAGTCAGAGCACCACCCGTCCTCCGATGCAGCCCTAGAATGGAACACGAGGAACGCCTAACAGAAAAATCATGAATAACTAACCTAAAAATTGAAAAAAAACATATTAATAGACTTTGGGTAAATGCGAGTGGACCCACTTCAAACAGACGAGAAATTCACATAAAGGAAGTGTCGACTGAATCTCCTGAACTAGTTCAAGCCATAGCCGCGTTGTCTAGGGTCGTGGGACGCAACTCCCACGTTGTCCTGCACCGCAGGTGGGACGCCTGCATCATCTAGAGTCGCGGGACGCGACCCCTGCGTCATTTCGCGTCATTGGTGGGAAGCCCGTATCAATCTCCCGGGGTTGGGAGAGTTTTGATCACAACTGTCAAAGCTTCTGGCTTCTAGCAGCATGACATTAAGTTGACCACATTGAAGGTAGCGGAGCCGTTTTAATCTTTTGGTAAGTCAGCCATGAAGGCGCTGTTATTCCAAAACACACCCTGGTAGAATATATATTTATCCACTTTTAGGACAACCTGAGCTGGCAAATAGATAAGTATTCTCATGAATCAGTTCTCAAGCCATTACATATGTAAATAACTTCTCCCACTTCTCGTGCTCTACTGGGCGTATCTAATAAAAAAATATATAAAGAGGAGTCAACTCTAGAACAAAATCTATGATAGACTAAGTACTCTCACTAGCAACCACTCATGAGAGACTTCTTTTTCTCTAGTGAAACCTGAATCCCATTGATAAACTTTGCTCCCCACCAGGCTCCTAAGAAGATTTCAAAAGTTGTGGTTCATCTCTCCAGTCTGGCCATCTGTTGGTGGGCACACTACCAAACTGAATTTAATATTTAAATAACTCCAAAAAGCCTCCAAGCAACAGTATAAAAGCTTCTCTTTTCTGACATGTCAGACCACTTTCAAGGATAACCACCCAATACTTGAATTGTTGGTCAGAATGTCTAACAAGTCTGTCAATAAAGGTTGTCCATTTTTCAAGTATTGGCTTGTCGAACTCACTATCTTCTAAAACTATTAATTCTGTCGGGATACTCCTCATAGGCCTAGCTTGAATTACGTGCATCTCTCCCTTATCAGTAGATAACGGGTATTCATTTCTGCCCTACATTCTTCTTTGTTTGTTGTGTCATTTCCCATTTCTTGAACAACTCACTGGTTAGTGAAATAGAACATTTCCCTCGTTGTATAATCAAATTCAATATGCACAAATACGTACCACTTAAAACACTTCCTACTTGGGACGAATATGGGAATGTTGGTTGGCTAGAATTAATTTCTACTTAAGCTGAGTTGACTTGGATGCTCCACTAAGTGTACTCTTGCTACTCAATCCTAGGGTTGAACTTGGCTTGTGAAGTGTGGTGGCCTTCCGTTAATGCGTGCATACTACATTAAATGTAAAAAAAGAGTACAAAAAGTACAAAAAGTACAAAAAATAAGCCCTCGATCCTGTACAAAAGAGCTCATGTCATTCTTGAAAAATTGTCTCTCCACTTTTGAAGCTAGGGTTTGCACATCTTGTCTGCAATAAACTAGTAGGTATTAGCATTATATCTCTCATTTCATCTTAAACCAGATAGTGATCTTGTCTTTTCTCACAGCACATATGCTTCAAATTTTCTCACCAAACAAACACTCTTCTTTTAACTTGCTAGAAGCTAGTTTCAACATTATGTCTGATGGGATCCTGGTACTTGAAGAAAAATTTCACGATGTGGAGCCACTCGATGAACTCATCCTAATCCAAATGACTGTCAAAATGTGGCAAATCCACATTTTACTTCAAAATTTTAGGCTTCTTAGATATTTCAAATCAAATCTTAGGGGTAGAGTTTCCTCAACCTTCAATCTAGCAAGTCTCGTTGTAGCTAGGGGTGAACCTTCTGAACTGTCTACTCTAGAAGGCAACAAACCTTTGTTCTAGTTAGAAGATTTTTCACTGCATATCTTTCACAGAAATTTTCTAAACATTTCTTTGAGGATTTCTCATAAACAGCATTATGGCCTTTCCACCCTTTCAAAAGTTAGACATTTGTCTATTTGGTGGCGTGGTTAGGATTTGGGTGTAGGTAGATGGAATAGGATGTCTAACGATGGTAGCAGGCGGGATCATTGGAATCACAAGGGCAGCGATGAGGGGGGATTACCACTTATTCTCGGATACAATCCTAGAAAGAAGCACAGGGGGATGTCGACGACTATGCTAACAGAAAAATCATGAGAACATTATATTTATAGATTTAAGGTAAATATGAGTGAAGCTCACTTCAGATATGTGGGAAATCACTGTAAACGAAGCGTCGACTGGACCTCCTGGACTGATCCAAGCCATAGTCACATCATCTAGGGTTGTGGGACGCGACTCCCATGTCATTCAACATCGCAGAAGGGACGCACAAATCATAAAAATGTGTATTTCACTTTTAAAAAGTTAGAAATAGTAGTACTTTTATGTAACAATAAGGATATGAGTGTTATATATACAAATAAGAAAGTTTTAGATATGTAAATACATAAAAACTGTGGGATATGTATGTAAATGTCATTAAAAAAACAAACATATGACTAAATTGACATAAATTTCGAAATTCAAAGTCTACAGTCATATGATTCATATGCTTAACTCTAAAGTATAAATGACATTAACATATAAAAACAAACAAAATTTGACATTGAAATGAAGCAAGACAATAGGCGAGTCAGCATAAAGCTGATAAAGATAAGTGGCAAGTTAGCAAAGGAAACGAAGAATGGCAATAGAGTCTCGAGCAAAGCGAGCGGAGAATAAAGATAGACATAATGTGAAGAAGATAATAGTGGGTTGGGCTTAGGGATTTGATGTTTTGTGAGCTTATAAGAGAGGAATTAATTTAAAAAATTTAGCATAAAATATTAAAAGGAAAACAATCCTTTCATTCATATTTTTATTAATAGACAGGAAAGATATTTATAATTTGATGCTATCAATTAGTTTAAGTTATATCATGGTGTTGTCGTCCTGCAAATATGGGGTAAAAGAAAAGACCAAGAGCTCGGCCAATTCCTCAATTTGCAAAGCATATATGTCTCGTAGGCCAAATGCTTCTCCTAGCTACTACAAGGCAATTTTAGCCAGCCCTAACCCAAGGTGAGCAGCAGATGAACCGCAAAGCACCTTTTTAAAGCAATTGCTTCATCCAAGATCCCACCATAAAAATTATGGGTGAGTTGTATTTATCTAATCTTTCTTACATATACTAAGTTAACATTTTCAAGAGCTTGGGCATGATTATCTCCAACATACACAGAAAAGCATTTTGCGTTTTATATCTAATATATTTTGTGAAGGAAGTTATTGCATTCTCTATTTAAGGACCCAAATCTTCCGAAATACATGTGATAACCCTAGAAAACTATTATAATGTGGTTTACAACCTTTAAGCATCTTTTATTTGCATATCAAAGCATGCTAAAAGGTTTTCACTTCAAAATAATCATATATTAAAAAAATTACAAGTAAGATGTTCTAACTGATAGCTCATCGTATTGCACATATTGTGGCAAGTGCATTAGGCACCCAATGAACTTGTGCCATCTTTGTATGCATACCCTTAAACGTCAATCAAAAGAATTAAACTTACGAATATATGAACAGTACCTTCCTACAAAGTGGTTTGGGATACTCCATCTGTTGAATTAATCGATAATGTATGATCCTCTCAATTAGGTTACTAAACGGGGCATATGTTTTATGAAGTTTGCACTAGCTGTATTACTCGCTTCTAGATCAAATGTAAAGACAATTTGCTAAAGCGCCCCATCAAAATATTTCATGCATAAGGTCATCGTTACTCTCCTTTAGCATGACAGCCCACATTCATCATGCCTGTGCAGTTGAGTGCCTCACACACACACACTCCTCTCCATCACTGCAACTTTGCTAGAGCTGGGGCACCAGCTCTCTCACAACATCAATTCTTACATGCACCTTCATTGTGTGCTCATAGCACAACTACTTTCGATGGTTCAAGTGCCAAGCTGCCTTTCATTTTTGCTTTCAAATTCTTTTGGTCACCAACGACACCTTGCATCGGTGTCCTATGAATGGCTGTTAATCCGTGCTCAACATATTTTTTGTGAATGGAATCCACAATATTTTCTCTTGCTCAATTCATTTCAAAACTCTCAGAATGTCACTCATGTCGTCAACCAAAATCAATATTTTGATAATATGTTTTCTATATACTCTAACAGATCAATCCTATAAGCGTGAAAAACAGCTATCTTAGCTCTTAAATCAAATATATTAATCCCCTGGCACCGGCCTCCTCTAGCATTCATCCACTTATGTCTCCTCCAACAGTTCTAGTACACCGTGTTTTCTCTTAGGATACACCTCCTGCTTACAAAGCATATGCTTGCACTTCTCATCCTCATCCAATCATTGGCCTTCAATTTTTATCAGTGAAACTCAATCCCACCGCAACATAAGCAAACTTCTACTTTTCAGGGTAGAACTGCACTTTTTTCACTGAAGATGAGATCTAAAAATCTGCAAGTCCAATGGCTTTTTATTTGTAATGGGAAAATTTACTTCGGGTCATCCTAATCTAGAAATTCTTCGCAAATTTATGTCGGTGTTACACCAAGTTAGTGACTTCTCTAATGAGCTCATTTATCCTCATTGTATCATCATAACATTACGTTCAAGGCTACTTGATGTGAACGCTAAAACGGACTACTCACTTTGACTCCTTCGAGGAACCACCTATTACTTCCTATCTGGGCTTATTTCCTCATCTTTGCCTACATTATTTACCCTACCAATTTAAAATCCCAAAAATCTATTTTTGGATGTTGCTAAAGCACATATCTTCAGTGCAATTATAGCAAGAGTTCTGATTGAAATAAATGATTCTATTCCTCTTGAAAATGAGGTAAAGCTATAAGCAGATGGTAAAATTTGAAAGAATTTTTTCCTATTTATTTTGAAGAAGTTTTGATTACAATTACTCGTAATATTTCAAGAATTGTTTGAAACCAAAGAAATCAAACAACTAGAAAGAAGTTGAGCACAAAAATGATCAAACTAATTCTTCAAATATAATGGTTGCAGCTCCTACTATATGAGGTTTGTACTCAAATTTTGGAACAAACTTTAGACCATTCAATCAAAACAAAGGCTTCTGTATCTAGCCCAGCCAGTCCCAGGGATATGGTCACTTTGTCAATTGCAAGCATGATCATTAACCAAAATCCTCCTAATAATTTAACCCCTCACCTTATTCCTATCAATGAGGATATCGATGATCATGCTCTAGAACCGCCTCATAATTTCGACGAGTCTTCAAAGCATATTAAAGTTTTGATGGATAAGAATTTCCAAATCAAAATCTTCAAGAGAAAAAGCAATAAAAAAAGATCAACAGTCCCATAGGTTCACCAAACTCTAAGCAAGACATTGCAATAAGAATTTATAATTTTTTTCCTTTTCAATTGAAGGATTCTTCATCCTATGCATTAGGTTACGTGTAAGTGTTTTTTTTTTATTATTATTTTTATGCCTTTTGTTATACTCATAATATTAATTGTTTATAAAATTATCAATTCAGAAAAAAACCCACCAAAATGTCCTTTCATTTTCATGCATATAAAAACTCAACGCAACTCGCCAATCCACTTTAATTACCATCCACTTAACATTGGCTCATGTTGTATGATTACAAATGAAAAAATTTGATAACCTGAACAGATACTAGGACCCTTAGGTCAGTCCCGGTCCTGTACCTTCTAAAGTTCTTCCAAAATCTTTAGTGTTACACCACAAAGACGGCTCAAGCCTGGTTGGACCACCCTTTTAGCCCTTTACTAGCACGGGAAGGAAATTATCTAGTCAAGGTTGTCAACTGAAATGCAAAAATCCAAGGCAAATATCTATCAAAAGAAACAAACTGGGAAATAATATATACATGATTATCATTACACGAGATAAGGAACCAACCGTTGTATGTGGTAAAAAGACCAGTTTCAAGAAAATAAAAAAAAGAAAGTAATGAAGTCCACTGATGAAAAGTCACAAAAAAATTATTAAATTTCGCACAAACATGCAACAAAAGTGTGAAAATCAATGGGCCATATAGCACGGATCTTTATGGCTAATGTCATGCTTAGCAATCAAAAGTGCTGAAGTACTAAACAAACATATGCTCGTAGGAGTTGCAAGGAAAAATAAGGATAAATAAAATGTAAATAGATGGACCAGAACACAGCACATACTGGCTCATTACGGCCATCTATGGACCTTGTCAAAAAATGAGAAGTACCATCATCTAATAAAAAGACCAGTTTCAAAAGAATAAAAAAAAGAGAGTAATGAAGTCCACTGATAAAAAGTCACAAAACAATTATAAAATTTCGCACAAACATGCAACAAAACTGTGAGAATCAAAGAGCCATATAGCACAGTCCTCTATGGCTAATGTGATGATTAGCGATCAAAAGTGCTGCAGTACTAAACAAACACATGCTTGTAGGAGTTGCAAGAAGAAATGAGGATAAATAAAATGTAAGTAGAAGGACCAGAACGTAGCACATACTGGCTCATTGCGGCCATCTATGGACCTTGTCAAAACATGAGAAGTACCATCATCTAATATTATTCGGACTTGAACAGTTGCAGAGGAAGCTGCACTAGCAGCTGCGGCAGGGGGGCAGCTGCAGCAGCTTGAGCCTCTTTTGCCTTCTTAGATGAGCCTCCTTTAAGTGTGATGGGTATTCTAGGAGCCAAAGCAGTTTCTAATAATGCATATCTATCACGACAATTATCCCAAGCAAACAGCCTCCCAGTCCCTGAATCAACAACAGACCAATCACTAGCCTTGTAAACTGCAAATGAAGGAATATCAGGCCAAACAATTGAGACATATCTGCAAGAAAACAAGAGGAAGATCACTCAGAGATAGATGGAATAATATTTTAAATAAAAAAAAAAAACTAGAACTAGCATTATTTTTTAAAGATGCCTCTGAAGCATGGCAAGTAAAATAAATCAAAAGGATAGTTTCTTTAAACAATAAGTAGATATGTTAAATAGAACTCAAAGAAGATAAATCCAAAATAAAAGTTAACAGAGTATGTCTGTGTGTGTGTGTGTGTGTGTGTGTGTGTGTGTGTGTGTGTGTGTGTGTGTGTGTGTGTGTGTGTGTGTGTGTGTGTGTGTGTGTGTGTGTGTGTGTGTCGTGAGCTCCGCTAGGGCTTCCAATGGCGATTTCGATCGCAATTGATTCTACCGCTGGAAGGAGCTGAATCGTCGACTCTCGCTCCATCCGTTTGTGTCTTCGTCGGCGTTGATGTCGCTGCCCTCTACTGCGCGCGTCGTCGTCCCTCGATATCGCTACACCTGCTCGATATCGCTCCTCGCAGCTTCGTCGCCTGCGCCTGTTCTTCTGTTTCGGCGCTGCTCTGCTTCTGCGCCTGTTTCGGCTTCGTTGCTGCTGCTTCTGCGCCCGCCCAACGGCTCCTATGCATTTGGCAGTAGTTTAACGACAGCCTCTAACCTCTAATGGCATTTCCTTCTTCTATGGTGGAGTCGGACAAAGTCTCCTTTGCCCACGTAGTGGGTAGCCCTCAAGTGGAGTCCGCAATGAGATTCCCCTCAAGTTATAAGGAATCTCGTAAGGGTACTGATGATTGTCCTTTTATTAAGAATGGGAGCAGGAAAGGTGGAAAAGAAGCAATCTTTTTCTCTGAATCAGAAATTTCTACTCTGACGGAAAAATTCAAGTTTGCTCTTATTAGAAAATTTCAGTGGGGGGCACTCACCTATGAATGTTATCAAAAAGAGTGTTGATGATCTTAAACTAATAAGCAAGTGGAAAGTGGGACTCATGGATAGGAGACATTTGTTGATCCAACTAACAGTGGCTGAAGACTACACCAGGATTTTCTCCAAGAAATATATTAATATCGAAGGAAAATCAATGAAGTTACTCAAGTAAGCTACTAATTTCGACCCAAATCATGAAACTCCCACAGTATCGGTATGATTTAATTTACTTGGTCTCAAGCTGCATTTTTTTCACCATCAGGTTCTCTACTCTATTGGGGTCATTCTTTGGGATCCTCTTAAACTAGATTTGTCTACTTTCAACCTAACCAGACCCTCGGTGGCCAGAATACTTGTGGAAAGGGATATTACTTTACCTGATGTTATTGAAGTCTGGCTAGGCACAACCCATAATGGTTATTGGCAACAAATCGTCATGGAACACAAACCCCCATATTGTAACCACTGTAAGATGTTTGGTCATATCCTTGTTAAATGTCACAAATGTCATCCTAATTTGAAATCTAAAGTTCAAGTAAATAAGGATGGGTCTAACCCCACTGCTGTGGACATTTTAGTTCCAGCTAAGGAGGATACTACCAGACATGAGGTGTCTGTTGCCCTTGAGGATCCCCCTTATGAAACTGTTGTTACTGCTACTGCGAGGGATGAGATGCTGGCACCTACAAAATCCATACAAAACAATACTGATGGACTCTTACCAATAAATGATGATGTTCAGACTGATAATCAGGAGAGCCTCGCAGCTCCACTTCTTCAAGAAGTATCTGGTGTAGCGGCAACTCATACTTCACATATTCCAGAACCTACTGTGGGTACTACTGTTGGTAATCCTTCTTCTTTAGCTCTACCCCATCAGGGTGATTCTTCGGAGGAGGAATGACAGGTTTAGATTTCCAGGAGGAAGAAGAAGAATGAAGATCTACTAGAGCTTAGGAGTCTTATGGATGATACTTTGGTTACTACAGATAATGGTCAGCACCTTACCAATTTGCTAGTTGGATCCCTACCGAGAACTAGAGTCAGAGGTAAGACTAGATTGGGATGACCCACACTGTTTCAGTGCCAGTGTGGTTTTTTGAGTTTTTTCTTTTATTTCTATATGTACCCATCTTTTACTTTTTTTGATGTGTTATATCGTGTGGGTTGGGTGTTTAGGTCCACCCATACAAACATATCTATATATTTATCTTTAATATATTAGCTCTTGGGCTTTTTCAAATATATATATATATATATATTAATTCCATTAAGCATATGAATAGATTCATACAATAGTGATTAAAAAGTATCTAATGTATTAGAAGTATATAATAGATACAAAGCTTTATAAGAATGGAAACTATAGAAATAATAAAAAAAGGCATGATTAAATATAGCAGTTTGAGCTTCATTCCAAAGAGCAGGCGTCTGCAAAAGAATAGTACGGTCCTAATAAGTTGTTTGATATCGGAGTTGTTTTTAGCTTGACTCAGGAAACAAGAATTTTAATAAAACTCGAATTTCCATTTGTTCCAAATGTCATGTAGAGTTTAAATATATCACAAATTGCTTAGGGATACTGTCAATAATCATTACATGGATACAAATGAACTTAAGAGGTATCTTTTGTACAGAATACTATAAGTAATTGAGAGCATGATGGGTTACTTTGAAACTTTTGCAAGATTAGCAGTGTATGACAGTTGAATTTATCATATTCTAGGGTAAGCAAATTGGATTCATGGTAAGTGACTAACTTTCCAGAACTGCTTACAGACAGAATTGAGTATGAATCATGAGGTGCAGGCGTGCTGATATGCTTCCTGGTCTGCTTAACAACAAGTGGCTCAGTTGAGTCTGCCCTGGATCTCCCTGTTTCAGATAAGGAGCCAGTACTTCCAAGGGAAGGATTGGCAGTGTTGGAAAGCTGAAAATTAAGTAATTTGAGCTCTCTTTCAACTATATACACTGCAGAGTGTTCTCTGCCTCCTGAAGGTGATGGTAGAGGAATAACGGATGGAAGGGATCTAGCATCAAGCTCACAAAGAATAACACCAATATTGGTTCCAGTTGCAACAAGGTGTGGTTGCAATGGATGAGCAACCATGCAATAAACCTGCAAATCATTTAAATACTTTTAATATGAAATGAAATCAAAACTAACTAATAAACTTACTATTGTGAAAAAAGCCATGCAGCTTGTAATAAATTAATAAAAAGTTCAAGTTGCCATTGAAAAATTGCACAAGATTGAAAAGATGGCTAAAAGAAAAATACTAACAAATTGTACAAGATGGAAAAGACAGCTAAATGAAATATACTAACACTCAGAATAACCAGGGCATAAATGAAACCAAGCATGAGCAATCAAGATACACATGAACCCTCACATACAAGCTAATTTTTTCAGCATATTAGCATAACAACAAATTTGGTAAGGGGCACATGCTTGTCACATCTGTTGTGATTCAAGATGGCCTTCTCAAGCAGAATATTAATTAGTTGAGTCAATGATCCATGCCATTATCTTTAAAACATACAAAGCAATCAAATCCAAATATAATCCATGGGAATGTTCTCTCTGGATATAATTGAAAAAAAAAAATCTACATATTCATATTGAACTTGAGAATTGAGATATCAACAAAAGTCATTCGGCTATCTTTTCTCCTTTATTTAATCTAGAACAAACCTTTAATTAGCTTGAATATGTAATGCCAGTTTTTCTGCATCCAAAGATACTTATAAACTCTATTAAAAAAAACTACTAGATAATTATAATATTACTGCCACACCTATCGTTGTAGGCATTGGAAAGAAGCTACTCTAAGCTCTGAACCTCCACAAAACGAATTCCCAAAGTGTTATAAGAGTAAATACCCACAATTCTGTCTATCCCCTTCATCTACATGGGATTACAAATTACACTGTGAAGGCCTCCTAAGAAAGTGATTCTATAAAAATGTAACTACATTGGTAGAAAATAGTAAGAAATGGAAAATGGTTCAAAATGTTGAAATACTTGCGGTAATGTTTGTATACAAGTTGATATGCTAAAATGTAACTTTTAATGTCACTAGTCAGAATGAGTCATTATAATTAATCTTATTCAAACCAACGAGATTAATTTATGAATCAACCTTCTTTGTGCATTCATGTTAAGTGTTAAATAAGGATAAACTCTAGTTTGCATCAGTCATTGTGAATAAATTCAAGCCATGTTAGCTTCGGCCTATCCGCCATCCTTTCTTTCGCATTACCTTTACCATCTTGCCTTCTTAGTTCATCTTTTGCCTTCCATTAAACAAGTTTAAATATTTAATAATCTCTCAAGAAAATACCATTTGAGAGATTTCCTTGTAGTTTTCTTCAGTAGATTGAATTTATACCTAACCAGGCTCCCTCTTATATTGAATCAAAATTTAGTAAAATCTAGGGTTAAAGATTTCAATTGAGCACTAGAAGCCATAGTAATTATACATCTTGATCGCATGCGAGAACCCCAAACTAAGATAGCTACTTAGTTCAAGCATTCATGGATGCTTGTTGGGTCCACAAGACTTGGCAGATAAGTGTGGGAGAGGGAGTCATGACCCGGCCCATAACTTAGAATTATTAATCAAGAAAGGAACAATTGATCTATTGGTGAAATAAAATTTTCAAACAATAACATACTTTAATCCAAATAAATTTGAAGAGCCGCTAATTAACAAATTAAAAGTTACATTTCTAATTGTTGATCTCACTTTCAAAATACATTATCTCCTCTAGAATTCAACTTATTCAAAATCTTAAACCTGAAAAATATTAAATCAACATAATGAGTTATCCTAGAACATCCAATGAATTAATCACATTTTTAAACTATAGTAATGCAAAGAAAAGAAGACTATATGTTTGTTGATCATTCATATTTTATTTTAGAAAATCATATAATAATATAATGCATGTATTCTTGACATTTCCCCAATAGATATGATCTAAAATTCTATATACTTTAATATTTACTTTACTTTTCAAGATTTAATTTTTAACTTTACTTTTACTTTATACACTTAAGTTTCACATCTATCTCGAGAGCACCGTCGAACATAATCAACACACACCTGGCTGAAATTATGCCATCGATGTAATCACCCGGCCCGATAATTTAAAATTAACCAAATCAGGAACTACGATAAGACAATATTACAATTAAATTACTTTCCACTTTTTTTAATTTTCAATATAAAAAAGCGCCACTAAGAATCCACGAAGTACAATACACATAAAATCGAGAACATACAAAAATAATAACATAAATAGTAGACATATCAAATCAACATATAACTGTATATCACTACCCTGAAGAAAACAGTGCAAGAAGAAATTTCAATCACATAATAATATGATATCTATCAGTTGTAGTCATGATCATGTCAATTAGGTCTCTCTAATCAGATATATCAATCTATAATTTTTTTTTCCTAAAAGAAACTATTAATTTCAATATTAAGTTTTCTCGACTTGGGAAGCAATTATCATCTTGAAATGTAATAAATTCATATAAAAATGCTATATATGAATGACTAAAAGAAATATTGTTCATAACTTTATAAAAATGTAAGCTTTCATTTTAAATTTATTTATTCCCATTTCAATTTAAGTATTAATCATTTTTAACATCTTTAAAAGTCATGTCAATTTTACTATCATACTTGAAAGTATTATTAAAATTGTACCCGTAGATGCCTCAAGGTACACCTTTATCAATTTTTTTTTATCGTGCAAGGGTACATCAGATCCTCTGTTAGTACAGTCTAAAGGTACTCTTGTATGACTTAAAATTTTGCATTTCATTTCTTTTAAGAACTTTCATTTAAGGTCATTGAAACCACCATTTTACTTTTTCAACTTTCACTTCATTTATTTTAGCAATTCTTTCATTTAGAATGACTTAGATTATTAAATCAAGTGTTAGTAATAATGCATTTATTCATTAATAAAACCTTAATTTAATACATACTAGAAATTAATTACTCATCTTATGCCTTAAAAAACCTCTTCAGAATGTGGAAGAGTATGGGTGCATATTCTGGTAGTGACCGGCAAGTGGAAGTGTATGCAGCCTGCGGTAGCGAAGGTAGGAGACGGAGGCAGCAAGGGGAAGGGGAGGACTACATGGAACATAGGTTAAAAAGTTGTCCGGAAGCCTACAACATGTACGGTGCGGCCTAGAGCGACGTGGGAGGAGACAGAAGAAGGTAAAAGACAATAACACTGCTTCAAGTAATAGATACAGCTAAAGCACCACCTAAACCCTCGGATACAACCCTCGAAAGAAGAAAATTGACGTCGGTGGCTATCCTGATAGAAATATGAGCTAAAAACTACATTCCAAACCCTAATACAACACATATATAAGAAATGTCTAAAAAAGAATGACAGATAATAGAGAAGAAAACATAAGAAAGGAAAACGGGATTGATTTGACACTTCCCGCATTATAGAATTTCACGGTACAATAGTAGCTACAGTACTGCGTCCACAGTAAGCTCCCGCATCACAAATTTTTCCATATTCATTTTCTATAACCAACATTTAACATATGAAAAAATCACAAAAAAATTAAATTAATACAGTACAATTAATTTACCTCATTATAGGTTGTCAGCATCTATTATAAACATTATCTCTCTTATTAATTATATTTTAATAAATTAATTACACCAAAAAAGTTAGTTTAAAATAATTGTAAGATAACGAAAGCCATTAAATACTCACACTATTAAACTACAGTAATATAAGAAAAAAGAAAATAACATGCATGTCAGTTCAGCTTTTTATAAATAAGTATGAAACATCTTATATTTTAAGAATATGATCACTTATGATATTTCATGGTATTTAATAAATTTTATTGTATCAATAAAATACATATATCATTTTATACCTACAAAGTCAACATAGAAACATTTAAAAATTATACCAATAAAGATAACTTTAATATCAATATATTTTTCAATTTTCGTGCATGTGTACCTTAATGTCTCTCCCGATATCATAAAAAAGATGACTCCATCATAGTCAAGCACGCACATACAAGCATATATATATATATATA